GGATGAACAAGCACCCTTCCTCCAACAGGCTCTGTCCCATCCAACATGGTAGAGGTATGTTCACTATTTCTGTGAGCCATGCTCACTGCCCCAGCTCCAGGGACGCAGCAGGCCTATTTTATCATCGAGCGACCAGTAGCACGCTCTCACAAACCCCATTTAGGTACAGGACCTCCCAAAAAGTCAGAGCCATTCATGCTACCAACACAAACTAGGAAGCCTTCCCTTAAACGAGCCGTGCAGTTTTTGCTGTTAATGTTGAGTCAGGAAGCCTTCTCTTAAAGGAGCTGCGTCACTCCTTGTAGCCAGCAAACAGAGTCTATTTGAAAAAAAAAATGCAGCTACCAAGAGGCTGTGCTTGGCTCCCATCTGTATGGATCTAGAAGCCCTCGGGTTTTTTGTTGTTGTTGTTGTTGTTGTTTGTTTGTTTGTTTTGTTTTTTTTCCCTTAAGCTTTCTTTTTTTAGGCCTTATGTGGATCCATACCCCAGACAGTGAGCACCGTTTTGTTAACAGAGACTGCTCATTTGTTTCCCGGCCACCCAGACCCAAATAATCACACAGAAACTGTATTAATTACAAGACTATTTTGTCTATTAGCTCAATGTTCATATTAAGTAACACTTTCATCTTAAATTAACCCATTTCTATTAATCTATGTATCACCACTGTGAATTACTTGTAAGGTTCCAAGATGTCTTTTTCCTTGGGGAATCTTTCTCCTTTGGCAGCTACATGGCGTCTCCTTGACTCCGCCTACTCTTTCTATAGATCTCTGTTTGCATTTCCTGTCTGACTTTATTCTGCCCTGCCATAGGCCAAAGCAGCTTCTTTATTAACCAATAGTAATAAAGCATATTCACATCATACAGAGGGAAACCACATATCACAGGCTGCAATGTGCAGGTCAGAGAGCAACTCTGCAGAGTCAGTGTCCTCTTCTACCTTTACTAGGGTTCTGGGGATCAGTCTCGGGTCATCAGGCATGCACAGTAAACACCTTTACCTATGGAACTATCTTTCAGGCCTTTAATTTTTTTGTAGGATTAAATGAGATGATGAAAAACGTAGTAGCTTAGCACACTGGCATATGGTTCAATACTCAATGCTGTCTATTTATCTTTGGACATAGGTCTTGTTAGGTAGTCTAGGCTAGCCTCATGCTCATAACCCTCCCTCATTTTCCCCAGTGCTAGGATTATAAGTGTGGGCCCTCATACCCACACCTTCAATTGCTGTTGTTAAAAACAACTCATTATTACTATTTATTGTTGTTGTTATTATTGTTACAGTACTGGGCACTGAGATCAGGGCCTTATGAGTGCACTTTACCATTGAGCTACACTCCATGATGATATTATCAATCTTAATTTTTCATAATGCCTCCTGGCTGCCTACACAGGTTAATAGTAGACTGTAGGGTCAATGAATGAGGATGCTGTATCCCAGAACCCCTGCCTCTACACCAGTGATTTTCAGTAAGCAATCATTACTCTCAGAGGATGCTGGCCAATATTTGGATTGATTTTAAAACAACAGTACGTATTTTCCTTTGAGATCTGGTGGGTGGAGATTAGGGATGAAGCTAAGCATCTCAGGGTAGACAGAGCAGCCCTGCCATGAAGTTTCTAGGCTGAAGGTAGAGAACTCTTGTGGTACACTATGCCCTGCATGTGAGTGTCAGCCAGGTTGAGAACTCTTGTGGCATGCTACATCCTGCCCCTGGGTATCAGACTTGGGAGCAGCTGGCACTTCAGTCAACCCCCGACTCCCAAAAGGTGCAGCCCACAGACCACAGTCTTGAAATCCTCATTGAGCAGGTGGGTAAGCCTGCCTTGTCTGTGGTGTGCTATTCCCTGAAGGTTGAGATTCTTGGGCAAGGATAACCTATTTTGGTCACTGCCCTTCCTCCAGACAAAGAAAAACCATCTCAGCCTGGCTTTTCTCAAGTGGTTTGACTTCTTGTTCTCTCCCATTGCTCGAGAAGTCACCAAAGCCCCAAAGCCACCATCTAATGCTCTGCCGAGCCAAGAAGGCAGGGAGGTTGTCTCAGCATCCTCCTGCTGCTCCTGATGCTCTGGCCTCTGCCCCCAGTCTGATCCTTTGAGACAGTCCTTCACATATATGGCAATCAGTGGGATGGCTTGATTGTATGCTTCCCTTCATGCTGAAGATAGACATCATGCCTGCCTCTGCCTGTGACACACTGTTTCTGTGGTCCCAGTGTGGGCTTAAGGATATCAGAAATTTACTTGTGAAAGGTTCAAGGAGAGAGAGAGAGAGAGAGAGAGAGAGAGAGAGAGAGAGAGAGAGAGAGAACAGGGTAAGGAGGATAGATACAGAGATAAAAGGAAATAGAAGTAATAGAGAGATCAAATGTTAACTAAAAGGAAGAGAGGAGAGTTGAAGCAGACTGGAGAACCATAAGGGAGGAATGGGGGAGAAAGAGAAGGAAAAAAATGGAGACAAGGGCAGAAAAAAAGAGGGAATGAGGGACCAGCTGAGATGAAGCGAGAAAGAAGTGTGTGTGTCTGTGTGTGTGTGTGTGTGTGTGTGTGTGTGTGTAAGAGAGAGAGAAAAAATGATAACCCAAAAGCACAGGAAAGAAAATCTCACTGAGGTCTCAGTGCCCGTGCGTTGGGAAGGGGGAGGAAGCTGGAGCTGGGATACAGGAGCGGTTTCCATGGAGATGAGGATGCACCAGGAGTGAGCAAAAACAGACTACAGTGAGGCCAGCCACTCTGGCACCTAGGGAGAGGAGGGCTGGGAAGCAACTGAAGGGAGGGTGTGTATGTCTGTCCCCTGTCAGCTTCCTTTTGCTGGAGAATCTGAGCCCAGGGATGGAGAGACAAACACGGGCATATAGGGAGACAGACATTAAAGTCTCCTCCTCCTCTTCCTTCTCTTTTTCCTCCTCTTTCTCCTCCTCCCTTCCAATCAATGACAGAGCACCAAAGGGCTTAGTCTCATGCCTACTTTTTGGTTTCAACAATGTCTAACACCAGAATTTCAATGCCCATGGGGGCCTGAAGCTTCCATGGTTAATCTCCAGCTCCTGTTGTCCCCTGGGGAGTGCGGGGTCTGCTCTTGGTTTTTTATCTGTATGCCTAGGTGTATCTTCAGACTATTTAATTCTCTAGCTCTCCTGGCTTGGTTCTGCTGCAGGGCAGAGTATTTCCTCTATGCCCATCAAGGGGGTGGGATTATTGTCTTGGAAACTGAAGGCAGCTCCAGTAGAACGAGAGGTTGATGACAGTGTTGTTGGGGACATTACATCAGACATGGAGGATGGGTGTGGGATGGAATCCAAGTTTCAGAACTCTGGGGAGGGAGGAGCCTGGTGCTTAGGGAGCACTCCCTTGTACTGGAGCTGGGGGAAGGGGTGTCAAGGCTCTTGCCTCTCTCCCACTGTGGGGACTGGATGGGCCACATAGAGTGACAGAACTGAGAACAACCAAACCTTGTCAACGCTGTCATCTAATAACCAGGTCGAGCCTGGAAGTGTCAAGGGTCACACAACTCAAACAGCTCTGCACAAGCTACAGACACGGGGGAGGGGGGACTGAGCAGACCAAGCCTTCCCAGTTGCTTACTGAACCTGAAGCCTCTGATTGGCCTGCTATGGGGCCTGTGCTGCTCTCCTAGTCAATCACTATTACCAAAGGAATGCAGTGAGATGATTGGCTCAGACTTGATCCACCCCCTCCCTACCTAGGCTGGTGAGAGCTTGGTAGAGTAACCCAAGTGAGTGAATTGGACAAGGGAGCCATTTAACATGGCCATCTTGACCCACCCTTTCTACTTTTATTTGTCTCACCTGAAACCTATTGCATTATTTCCTCATTTGTGTGATTATTATTTTTGTTATGACTAAAGCTTTTGTTTTGTTTGTTTGTGTGTTTTTTTCTGAGATGGTGTCATTTTGGCTAAACTGGCTTTATAACTGTATAGCTAATGATGGCCCTGAATTATTTTATTTTATGTGTGTATTTTGCCTGCTTGTTTGTATGTGCACCCCATGTGTGCAGTTCCTATGGTGGCCAGAAGAGGGCGTCAGAGTTTCTGGAATTGAAGTAACAGACAATTGCTCACTGCCTAGCAGGTGCTGGAAACTGAACCCGGATTCTCTGCAAGAGCAGCCAGCGCTTGTTAGGACGAGTTCTGATATCAGCAGTAACATTATGTGGGAGTTGCTGTGCAAAGCACTTTGAGACTCCCTGTTATCTTTACCATCATTTGATGGTACTCTTAACCACCCCCGATTTACAGATTTGTCGACTGAAGCACAAAGACAAAGGAAATGAGGCCCACAAATCTTGCAGAGAGCTGGGCCAGCGTTTGAGTCCTTAACATTGTGCTACAACCCTCCTCTCTCCCATGCAAGCTTCAAGAGACACAGACCTGGGTGCCTCCCTGAGCTCTGCTCTGATGCCCAGCACACAATAAGACCCTCAGCAATGAATGACCGAGTTAGCACCTTGCTAAATGTCCCTAGAGCACCATGGCTCCCATTCTACAGAAGGACTAGCCGAGGACCTCCCATCTCCCAGACACAGCTGGAGGGAGAAAAACTATGGGGAAACCCTACTGTCACCCTTTGCTGCCTGAAGAGCGTCTTTGAATGAATGCAAAGTGATTGTCAGTGAACCACTGTTGAATGAATAACAAAAGAAAAACCAAACCAAAGCCGGGCTCACAAAAACTGAAGTGCTGAGGATGGGTAAGAATAAGAGGAACCCAGAGGATGTCAGGGGATGTGGCCTGGCTTTGGTATTTTCTTATTCCTTGAAGGTGGGGTTAGGCAGGAGAGGTCAAGGGTCCCAGTTACTGTATTTTCAGGTGGAGAAAGAGTTACCAAGTGATCAGATTGCTAGATGGGACTGGGGGAATTCTTAGGACTCAGCCCCCTCCCACCTCCTCGCTTCTAGGAAGTAATAATACCTTCTCTTTCCTCCTTTCCTCCTGACCCGACCTCGGTGTGGGCCCGCTCCCCATGCCCAGCTCTGTGCCTCGTGTTGGGCTGCATGATCTTCCCCGATGGCTGGGACGCCGAGACCATCCGGGACATGTGCGGGGCCAAGACGGGGAAGTATTCCCTGGGGGACTGTTCGGTGCGCTGGGCGTACATTCTGGCCATCATCGGGATCCTCAACGCGCTCATCCTGTCCTTCCTCGCCTTCGTGCTGGGCAACCGGCAGACTGACCTGCTGCAGGAGGAGCTCAAACAGGAGAACAAAGGTAAGTGTCCGGACCTGAGGGTAAGGCCTGCTGGGGGCGGGGCAGGTCAATTGTAGATGAACATTTAAGTGAAGCAAAAATTACACCCAGAGAGCTGGAGAGATGGCTTGGCTGTGAAGAGCACTCGCTGCTCTTCCAGAAGAGCCAGGCTGATTCTCACCCACATGAGGCCACATGACCGTCTTCAACTCCAGTTTTCCACCCTCTTCAGGACTCCTCTGGTTCTGCACACAGGATACACATACATGCACTCAAGCAAAAACACCCATACACTTAAAATAAAAAATTAAAAAATGATTTAAAAAGTCACACATAGGGATGGTTCAACACGTAAACTGCTACCAAACTTAATGACCTGGGTTCGATCCCCAGGACCTACACAGTGGTAGGCAACTCCTGAAAACTGTTCTCCAGCTTAGACACACACAGCCACCCTGAAGATAGAGAACAGGAATTGAAGTTCGGCGGTTGTGGGCATCATCCCATGCCCCGTGGGTGTGACTGCGAAGTGGCAGAGAGGTGTGTTTTATTACGCCCTATAATATGTGTTTATAATATATTTAATAATTTATAAAACTTAATATATTCAAATGTATAATCAATATATTTATTAAAGACAGAGAGCTAATGGGGCTGGAGAGATAGCTCAGTAGTTAAAGGCACTGGCAACTCTTCCAGAGGACTTGCGTTTGGTTCCCAGCACCCGTGTTGTGGCTCCAGCTGCTGGGGGGCCAGTGCCCTCTTCTGGCTGCCATAGGCATCTGTCTGATCACATGTGGCTTACACTAGCACATACACACACATAAGTAAAATTTAATAACAATTTTTTAAAAAGAAATGATAAATACAGACTAAAGGGGTGGTTGGTTACTAGATTGGGTCTGGAAGGAGAGGAATCTGGGCCATGAGATCAGAGCTTATAGTGTATGCAAATTACCAGTGGTCACAGCTTTGATATGGAATGGTGGCCATTCACAAATTCATTACACCATGTTATATACTTGGTGTGTATTAATGCACCAGTATTATAGATTGGTGTATATTGTGCATGTTGATGACAATAATACAACAGAGACACAATTCAGGGCCATTGAGACGGATTGCTATGAAACCCTCATAACCCAAATTTCATGCCCAGGACCGACTCCCACTGACCTCCACACCCCCTCACTCTTACACAAACACAAATAATAAATTTCACTTAATTAAAAAGAGCGCACAAGCTGAATGATGGTTTATTTAATTCTTCTTCCTGTAGGGAGGGTCCAAGGTTTCCTGCTGTTGCTGTGATGTCTTTGTTCTGCCTTCACACACTCATGTCCAAGTGTGCTCTTGGGGTCTCCAGAAGTGAAATGTAATGACAGTACCAGACAGTCAAAGGGCTGAAGCCAAGCAGGGTCTGCTGACGCTGATGCCAGCCTACCCCTAGTGCTGAGAGTGAACGTTTGTGTGTGTATGGGCACACAGTCCTTAGACTGAGATCCAGAGTAGTGGCTTCCACAGTCCAGTCTATGTGTAGCAAAGCCATTCACTATAGTCATTGCTTGCAGATTCGGCTCACCATACAATGGGATTAAATGAGATAGTATACGCTGCCGCGTATCCACTCGTCTGGCGGGGCCCCGCTGCTGTGCTTGAAGTCTTGAGTGTTGAGCGCAGATTATAGTGAAACCAGGTTGCTTCACCTTAAGCTTCAGTTTCCCGCGCTTCATAAAGCCAGGGTGCTAAGAACAGATCTGTCTCTCAGGATGGGCTTGTGAGGGGAAAGTTTGTGCCTGCAAAGTGGTCAGTAAGGGCTGGCACTTTGCTCAAGGCTGTCAGACCTCACAGGCCTCTGCAGGCAGACATTATGACTGCTGTTTTACAGAGGACATAAACCCTCCAGTGGATGGGCGTGTGGAGAGTTGGGGAGCTTGCCCAAAGTCCTCTAAGTATAGTCAGGACCTGAATGCAGGTCCAAGTCCAGAACCAAAGCTCGTCCCAGCAGTCACACTACCCATCTCAGCCCCAGCGAGACTAGGGCCTTCCTGTCCCCTTTTCATTACCTAGGACTGACTGTAAGAGCTCCCACAGATCCCTCCCACCGGTTAGTTTCTTTGGTCTTGGTTTGAGGTCAGGACCTGCCCCCTGGTGGTAATTCCAAGAAGTGCAAGGCCAACCTATTTGTAGCCTCTCTGAAGCTATCTGGGTATTGATAGGTGTAACCAGCAGCGAATGGGTCCACCCAGTGTCTCTCTCCTGTCTCCTGATGGCTCTCTCACAAGATCATTTATTTTAAGACATGGCCTTTTGGGGTAGACTAGAATACCATAGAACTCATTGTGTAGCCCAGGCTGTCCCCAGCCTGTGGCAAGTCATTGCAGCTCACTCTTAAACGAGATCTGGGAGGTCAATCATAGTGGTGTACACCTGTAATCTTCATACCTGGAGGCAGAGACAGGAGAATCAGGAGGCCAACGCTAGCCTCTACTACCCTGTAAATTCCAAGCCAGCCTAGGTTATAGACAGCATTCCCCTCCCCCCACCCCGCCGGAAAATCCCTATGCGAGTGATAAGGAAGTGACCTGTTTCCTTCAATGCCAAGAAGTCTCCAGCCTTCATTGGTGCATGAAGTTGGACTCTAGCGCTCAGTTCTGAGCCAAAGGAAAAGCTAAACTGCGCCACCACCAGTTCCTGGGTGCCAATTACTTGCATGGCGTCTCTTTGGAACCTTTAGAATGACTCTGTGAAGTCAGAGGTTGAATGGGGTGCTGGCTTCCCCGCCAGCCAACAACTTGGTTGTAGTTATTCTTTGCCCACTGCTGTTTTGGGGAGTGGCCGCGGGGACAGCTGTGACCTGACAGTCTCTAACATTCTCCCTTCTCTCCCTCAGATTTTGTAGGCACTACAGTGAGTTCGGTGTTGCGGCCAGGAGGTGACGTCTCCGGATGGGGAGTCCTGCCATGCCCTGTTGCTCATACACAGGGACCCTGAAAGCCAGGACTGTAGCCCAGGAGTTGGCCCGATCTCGGCATCTTTCGTCTGCTGCCCTCTCGTTCCTGCGGTCAAGCTCCAGACCCCAATCTCTGACTGCAGACAACTCCAGCCTTTGAAGAGAGGCAGGGGTGGGGTGGCAGCCTGGCGGAAGGCAGGGGCCCTTGATATCCTGAAAGAGCCTGATTCTGGTCCTGCCTCCAAAGGGAGCCTGGCTCTCCCTCTCTGGTCCTTCGGTTTCCTTCTCTCCTGTGTAGACTAGCTGGAGGTCCCTGAGGACCCCCGGGGAAGGAAGCGCTGCAGGACGGGCTCCTCAGACCCCTTCAGTCTGGAAGGCTGCCTGCTGCATCCTTGCCTCCCCAGTCCTGGTCTCCTAAAGAGACTCCTTCAAGACACTGCCCCAGGAGGGCCAGACTTTTTCCTACTTTATTTTTATTTGCTGATGATGGTCCCACCACATCTGCCACAAAGCTCCAGGTGCCACCAGCCCCACCCACGGGGCCTCTTCTGACTCCCTCATTCAAGCCTGCACCCAGCTCTCAAAGGAATCGAAGCCGTGCTGAGGGAGAAAAGATAGGGTCTTCCTTCCCACTGCTGGTAATCCCTCATCACCTCAGAGTCTGAGGGGAGACACAGGCTCTGGAGGCTGTGGGAGGAGACAACTGGTCACCGTAGCTGGAGTTTGCCAGTTTCCCAGCCTGGGAATGGCCTGACCTCTTCTCTACCAGAGTAGCTCATCAGTGACTGAGCCCTTGACTCTGGCCTGTTTTGTACAGCATAGACTTCTCGGGCCCATTGTCAGGGTCGGTGGCTGTGGAGAGGGGCCCAGAGGTGGAGTTAGGGGCTCCTCTCTCCTTCTCTCGCTTCCTACACCTCGGACATCTGCCAAAGGCAGGGACAGTCTTGCGTCTTTGATACTTTTCTGCCTAACTTGAACTTGCAGGTCACCTCTGAACAGGGTACCCTTGTCCCCATCCCAGGCCCTGTTACCCTGTCCCTGACTCTTTCTCCTACTTGCCCACTCTCGCCTTGCAATATGCCCAGGGTCTGCAACCTCATGGGCATTGCTTGGAACTGAGGTGTGTGTGTGTGTGTGTGTGTGTGTGTGTGTGTGTGTGAGTGTGTGTGCGCGTGTGTGAGTGTGTGTGCGCGTACACACATGCCTATGTACGTGCATGCATGTGTGTGTGTTAGGGAGGGGCAGATGTGAAGATCTCCCTTCTTCTCTCACCATAGGGGCTCCTCCCTCCTCCCATTAGCAGAGAGAAAATGAGGGAGATTCCTGGTGTTTTTTGGACCATCCTTGGTTACCTTATAGACCTGGTGGCAGAGCCATCTCGTCACTGGCAAGCCTTCCATCCCCAGTGGAGGGGTGGCAGACTAGCTTCTTCTAGCAAAATGCCTCCTAGGGCATGGCCTGCTGCGTGGTCCCTGTATTGAGGAGTGTGTGGCCCCTATGGGTTCCACAAGGGGCTTATCACTTCCGTGTGTCACGTGGGCCTCAGCCAGAGTTGGAAGGGTGGCTAGTCCACATATTTGCTGTCCTTGTGTTCATTTGCATAGGACTTGGAGCTGAGAGTTGGGATTCCTGGGCAAGACCCACGACCCAAGGCAAGACTCATTCAGACCTTAACTGGAATCTGATGCTGGCTTCTGGAAGGATTTCTGATCCCTGGCATTTTCCAGACCCCATCTCTACCTTTCTTCCAGGACAGACACCTCCTCCCGAGCTTCGGCGACTGCCCTTGTGTTCTCACACACACACACACTTGTTCCCACCCAGTCCCTTCCTGGAGCCCCAGCACTGGAGGCGTCTTCTGCAGGTGGCCAGGAGACTGGGAATGGATGGGGTGGGGCTTGTATGAAGGAGAAGGGAGCAGGAGTCAGTTCCTCAGATTCAAACCAGAAGATAGGGGGGCAAGGTAGTGACAGCTGGGGCCAGGAGTGGGTGACAGATTGGGAACTAGGCAGGGAGGAAGCAGGAGCACAGCCTGGGAAGCAAAGATGAGATGGGAGACAGGCATGGCGAGGGAGGGGCTGTGTGGTGCAGAAGGAGGGTGGGTGAAGAGGAACAGGAAGTGGGAGATGGAGGTGTGGTTCGCAGTGGGCAAGAATAAAATGTAGAGAAGAGGGTCGTCGGGAGGAGAGGGAAGAAGAAATGCTGGGGGTGGGGCCAGGAGGGCAGCCATGTGGGTGCTTGAAGACTGTTCCCCTAAGGATACCTGCTCTCCGAGCCTCCCCTCCCCCCCAGCGCGCGCTTTGGTGGACAGGCTAGAAAAGACTCCATGGAGGTCAAGGGACTGGAGGTCTGTGGTCCAAGCAGCTCTGTTCCTTTGTGGAGGAGAGAGAGAGAGACTGTATGTGTCTGTGTGTGCAAGCGCACGCGTGTGCGCGTGTATGTGTGTGTGTGTGTGTGTGTGTGTGCGCGCGCGCACATGCGCAAGCAGGCCAGGTTGTGTCAGCAGTAGGGTAACCACACAGGGGAGGAAGGAAACTAATTCCTTTTGGGGAGCCGTCTAACAGTGTTCCCATCCATACCGTAGCCAACCGGCTACTGCCCAGCAATTTGAGATCCATTGTGGAGTTTCAGGTTGGTGGGCTGAAGTCTGCAGGAGCCCCAGGGTAGCACGGGGAAAGGAGAGGTAGTAGTGCGGACCAAATTGTGGTCTTGAAGACTGAGAAGCGGTAGGGACAGGGAGAATGGATGCTTCATCCAAGAGCTCAGGTGGGGCTCTGGCAGATCCGGCAGTTGGAGCGGCACAGTTAGGGCAGGTGAGCCGGTGTTAGCCTTTGGGAAGGGACAGGCTAGGAAGGTCGACATCTCTGCTTCTGATCACCAACTAAGAGCTTCCTGACTTTACGTCATTAAAAGTCTTCTTCGCTCCTGGCAGAGTGAAGAAAGCAGCCATAACCTCGAGGTGGTCCGGTCTCTGGTCCAAAACACTGGTTAGACTGGTCCTTGGGGCTGTGACAAGTAGAACTCACCTCTCAGAGGACCACAGTATGGAGGAGAGCCTTCTGAGGGCGTGAGGGTGTGGGGAAGATGAACATCTTTCTGGGACCCACGAGAGCCAAGATGACGGCTGGCAGCTGGAGCTCTGGGGAAGGAGCCCAGGACTAAAGAGTCCCCCTGGAGCACAGAGGGCACTAGCCTTTCTCCAGCTCCTGATGTGGAAAAGGGAAACCCTCTTTTGGAGGGGCTGGGTTCCTTCTAGTACAAGAAGTTTCTGTGGTTCTTGCCTGGCTCAATCAGAGCTAGGGTAGGACTGGAGCTTTCCTGAGAAAGTGAGCAGGAGTGGCCAGCCCCCCCTCCGACTTCGACAGCCCTCCGAGGCCCTGTGCTGGGTGTTAGGATAGATTGGTGTTGTCTACACCCCATTAGTAAGTTCTGTCTTGAATGTGTCCTTGATGTTCATTGTCCAACTTGGTAACATTTCTTTTGGTCCTGACCCCTTCTGCTGCTGCTGGATCTGAGCTTCAGTGCAGGTGGAATGATGTTCAAATAAAGACACAATTTATATCACCCATGCTGGCTGCTGCTCCTGAATCAAGACCCAGGGCCTCATGAGTGGGATACAGCCCAACGTTTTGTATCAATGGCTGCAAATTCATGGAGCACCAGTGCTCACTGTGACTTAATGACAGTTTCTGTCACAACAGCATTAAAAAAGTTGGACCTAGTGGAGCATGCCTGTAATCTCATCACTCGGAAGACTGGGGCAGGAGGATTGTAAAATCAAGGCCACACCAGGCTACGTGAGGAGATCTAGTCTCAAGAAAGAAAAAAAAAGTCTGGGCATTTCCAGAACATGGCCCGAGGTGCCAGGAGGAGTCTGGCCACCATGTCTGTCCGTCTGTGCTCACTCCCATCCTCCAGAGTCCCCCCATAGTGGTTGGGGTGGGGGTGGAGGGATATCTCAGCAGCGACAAGCGCTCACTTGTAGAGGACCTGGGTTCAATTCCCAGCGCCTGCAACTCTTGCTCCAGGAGAGCTGATGCCCTCTTCTTGTCTCCATGGACACTGTGTGTACTTAACATCAGCGCACACATACATGCAGACAAAACACCCTTGCATGTAAAGTTAAAATTTAAAAAAATTAAAAGCCAGGATTGTGGCACAGGCCATTAATAAACCCAGCACACAGGAGGCAGAGGCAGGTGGATCTCTGTGAATTTGGCACTAGCCTGGTCTATATAACAAGTTCCACACCAGCCTGGGCTACATAGTGAGAGCATGTCAAAACGAGAGAGAGAGAGAGAGAGAGAGAGAGAGAGAGAGAGAGAGAGAGAG